GAATTTAAGCAAATAATTCAAGAAGCCTTAATGGTCGGAACTTTGCGACCATTACGTGTGCAGCGGCAGTCGCGAAAAGGCAATGATCTCGGCCTCTCTTCTAATTAGGGTTTAATGAGGTTAAACTCTAACCTCAAATGATACATCCAAAAGACTAATTTGCCCCTCTTTCTATTATTTTCCTTCATTACCCTTAATATCTTGACAATACCCTCCCTTAAGCATCAAACTTGTCCTCATGGTTGATTTGAAAAAACTTTTCTTCAAGAGCCCCTTTCGTAAACTTTTCTTCAATTTCCTCCATAGCCATTACGATTTTATTTGTGCAACGGTGTCCTGGGAAGTACCGGTCTCCATACTTGTAGCAAGTAGTTGTTGCTCTTCTAGGTTTCGTATCCCTTCGGAGTGGTTGGTCATGATTGCTGGTTTCAGATACTTATGCGAATTTAACAACCTTATCAGTAGGATATAAACTTTGGGACAGTTCTATAACATATTGTTCATAAAATAAGGCATGTTTGAATGCTTGATTAAGCATTTATGGCTTGAGGAGTCCTAGCATGAATTGTAGTTGTAGTCTGAGACCACTAATAAAGGTGGATATGAAAAATCCTTTGAAAATATTGGGTTATCTGCATTCATGAGAAAGCGAAAGTGTTCAAATTATTTTAAATAATCGAAAATAATACTTGTTTGAGATAGTCTAGTGAATTCCTCTGTGAAATCCTTTCGTGATGGTCCACCAAATCTACGGCAAAGCTCTTCCACAAAGTATTCCCAATCTATAACATCAATTTTGCTTCGTCATTCACGGTACCATATATCGGCAACTTTTCCAAAATATAATGATGCAATCACCAGCTTTTACTCGTCAGAAATATTGTGGATAATAAAATATTTTTCACACATTCGAACCCACCCGCGGGGGTTCACTCCTTCGAAAAGTAGAATTTCCACTAGGCGAAACTGGTTTGGTGCATAAGATCCATTGGGCCGGTTCTGTATGAATCTGTTCAGCCTGCATCTGGACCGGTTCAGGTCAAACCGGTTTGGGTTGAGTCGGGCCGTTTCGAACCAGGGACAGTTGGGGTTGGCCTAAATTGGGTTGATTCGGACCGATTCAGTCAACCTCTTCCACAAAACCGGCTCGGTTTCTCTCATACAAGTGTTCTTCAACAGGGTTAAACCCCAAACTAGTAGCACAGCTCGGGAGAGGCAGCAGATTTGTGCCACTCGAGGGAAAAGCAATCCTTCCTCGCACACACCCGAAGGCGGCTTCGGTCGATCTTACGAGGACATCTGGGATCTAAACTGTTCACATCGCTCGGGTGGATACTCGAACCTCCCTCCTCGCAGGCATCCATTGGCTTCGGTCAATCTCCTGAGGGTGTACCTCAAAGCTAGTCCACGATGGTGTCCAGTTGTTGTCAGATTTCATGCTTTTTGTATACCTCTTCTATGAAGGTGGTAAGTTTCTAATCAATGTCCTTCGCCGTCAATTCGAGCATCTTAGGATTCTCTAGTTCAGCCACCATCGCGGCCTTCCCTTCAACCGAGTGAGGGATGCGACTCGGGCAAAGGATTCGGCCAGCTACTGCTCTGATACCACCTTGACGGATATCTTAGACATGGAATTTGATCTGAAGAAGAAAAGAAGAAGAAGAAAAGGAGAATAAGAGAAGAAGATTGAAGTCGAAGATAATAGGAGATAAATTTTGTTTTTTTTTTCCTGATGACTACATAGGCAAAAATAGTCTTTTATTGAATTTAAACAAATAATTCAAGCAGCCTTAAGCCTGGAATTCCGCGGCCATTACATGTGTAACAGTGGCCGCGGAAAGGCAATGATCTCAGCCTCTTTTCTGGTTAGGGTTCCATGGGGTCAAACTCTAACTCTAAATGATACACCAAAAATACTAATTTGCCCCTCTTTCTATTAGTTTCTTTCTTTACCCTTAATATCTTGACAACGGCAAGATAATATCTGCTGACATCATTAGTGATGCTCTGTTTTCCTTTTCCAACTAGGGTGACCCTTTCAGATTATATGTAATCACCGTTCAAAGAGCTGTACGCATATCCCTCCAGCCTTTTCTGTCTATACCTTCTGGAACACACACTCTTTCCTTTATTCACACCCCAAAATACCTTAAGACCGAAAGATATCCCCCTCCCCTGTTTATGATTCGTGTCTACATGAGGAAGCCATGTGAGGTTCTAACAATTAGAGTTATGTAACTCCTTACCGCGCAATAGTTATAGAATCATTCTGCCTCCGGATTGCCCAGAACAATGCTGAAGGATCTGTTGCCAACAGTTTCTTCCACTAATACATCACCCTTCCTCTCTCTTTTACCTTCAACACAAAAGATTTTATTTTCCACTTGAAATGCTGCCTGGAAGCCTCCTAAAAGATCTATGACTATGTACTAAACTTTCCTAATTAATTCTTCTTCTAGCTTAGGTAACATAATGACTCAGATAAGAGAAAAAAAATTACAACACAAGAACATAGACACAGAGAGACATCATGATCACACTTTTCTTTCCCCCTCCTGAAACTCCTTTTTTTTCAACTTCTCCAGATAAACAAGAGTTTTAAAAAAATAAAAGTTAACTGCTAGTTCCTACCTAATTTTTCCCATTTGGCTACAAAGTGATTTGGTACTCTAGAAGCTGGAGCAAAATGGGCCCTTAGTCTATCCATAGCTTGTATTGGATGTGAAAATCAGTACAAATCTTAATGACTGGGAAGTAGAGAAGTTTAATAGCTTACTTTACTGCCTTTTCAAGGTTAAGTGTTAACCCTAATAAGATGGGGTGCCTCTTTGGAATTTGATGATTCTTTTCTACAAGCACCTCTCTTCCTATCTCTTCATTTCAACAAGTTAATTTTTCCATGGAAAGCTATTTGGGAGTCATAGGATCCACCTAGGATTGCCTTTTTTACTTCAGAGGCAACTAGGAATAGAATTCTCAAAATTGATAACCTCAGCAAAAAGGAAAATATCAGCTGACAATTTGTTACTTTTGCAAGATTATAAATACCCCGATCACCTTCTATTA